CACACACACACACACACTGATTTCATACCTGCTCCCACCGAGCTCTAAATCATAAAAAAGTAACTCATCCAGTATCATGCTTTACTTGAACTATACACACACACACACACACACACACACACACACACACACACACACACACACACACACACACACACACACACACACACACACACACACACACACACAAATTGCAACATATATAATCCCTCACAGCCATATTTCTTTGTAACGGACTCATAATAAATCACTAACTATAAATCTAAAGTGCAATCTTTGTTAATTTTGCAACGTTATCCAGCAGGGGCGGCGCTAGGGGGTGGCTACCTGGGCTCAAGCCCCGGATGTTTCACTTAAAAAAAAAATAGTAATAATAACAATTTGTTGAAAACGTCTCGGGAGTAATGTGCAGTACCGGAGTCCACCAGAGAGGCAGTCGCTGCGGGACAGTAGCCTGCGTACTGCGTAGCCTTCCCTGCCCTGAAGAAGAAGTGATCCTTCCTAGTGCCCAGCGCCATATGGCTCTGCTAGTGCCTGACAGTGTTACTTTTAAAAAGTAACTAGTAATAGTTATAGTTACTGCTCTAAAAAAGTAACTAGTTACTTTATGAGTTACTAAATTATAAAAGTAACTAGTAACAAGTTACTTTACTTTAAAAATAATAACAATACAAATACAAGTTGTTGTGTTGTTCTGTGGCACAAGAGAAAAGACAACTCCCCATCATTGTAGCAATTATCATTACGAAATAGTGGAACAATAAAACACAAAAGTGCGATTTAAAAAGATCGTTTTTTGTCTGTTTAGATGGTGTTGCTCCATCTGGGTCACTGCCGGTAGTTGAGACGGTGGGGTCTTTGGCGACTAGTGTTATAGCCCCATGTACATTAGTTAGGTGCTTCAGGAGATTGGCATTGCTGTTATTCGATGTGGACAATGCTTTCTGTCCTGCACACAGTTTACATTTGACCGTAATATTTTTTGTGTCCTTTATCCCCACAAATTGAAAATAGTGGTTATATTTCCAAGTTGCAAATGCGCTGCTGCTCTCGCTGATACTTGCATTTGCCATTGTGTGTGTGTGTGTGTGTGTGCTGGTGGTGAGCGTTGCCGTGTGTGTGTGTGTGTGTGTGTGTGTATGTTAGCATTAGCAAGTGTTCGTGTGTGTGTATTTTCCCCATAAGGCAAGACCCGCCCAACTCTGTCTCTGATTGGCTTACCCTGAAGTGTTACCCCGCGTTAACCAATCATCACTCCTCTCTGGTCAGTTTCACTTTTCCATGCTGCTGTGAGAGGACATCAATGTATTCGCCTGTAAATTACATCCGCAGGGAGATTCGGTTCAGTTCCATCACATAATGTAACGCAGTAACGCACCCATTTAAATCACAGTAACTATGAATGAAATAAGGAAGATGTAGTTTCAGTTTACGAGGAAGAGAAACAAATATTAATCAATTGTATCGAATGGACTTCCCCTAACTATAAGCTCTAAGACATAAAATACATCACTCAAACACACATGTTGACATACACATGCAGGTTTTGGGTCTGTGAAGTGTGTATTCACATCTCACCGTATCAATTAAGTGACACAATTGCATTTTCTGATTACATTTTTAATTAAAATACGAATTTATCCACAGATTAAAAATGAATGGCAGAAAAAGCAAAATGTAGCTACAATCAGGCACCAATGATACATGTTAGTTCATATTTTTAACAATTGCGATAACGCAACAATAACATTATTTACTGATCATTATTTAATATTTATTTATTCAACTGAAGACGGGCGGGCCCAAGCGGCCCACCAAAGACATTCATGGACTCTCCATTATAGATAACTGAGTGAAGACCACAGCTGGTCCTACCCCCCCACCCCACTTGATACTCATCTCAATACCTCACAAGAACTGAAGATTTTTTAAAAAAAGAAGCAAGTGTTCACAGGAAAAAACAACACTATTTCAGTCAGAAATCAAGAGTAAGAAGAAAGTGGTATTTAATATCAGAAAAGCTAGCTGTTCGGGTGGAAGTCAGGAGTGATTTACCACACACACAAGCACTTTTTTTATATATAACCATTAGCCCTGAAAAACAGACGACAAAGCTGGTGCAAAGGAAAAAAAACAACATGAGCTACGGTGCAGAGAAGCCACAAGACACGAAGAGACACAAACATGGGATGAGAGTAACAAGAGTTAAGACATCCCACCGTGGCAGGGGTGGACATGGCTTGGCAAGACATTCCGGCACTTGTGATTGGAGATTTCTTGAAATAAGGATGTTTTAGGGTGCGAGTGACTAAGGCAGGACACTTCATTCACACAACTACAATAGCAGTGCTGCTTTGAATTTGCACCACGTTAGAAAATGAATCCTGAAGGCGCTCTCGGGACCCACAGGGAAAAGGAAAACAGAAACGGGAGGACTAGGTCAGACAGACGGGTGCAGTGGCTGAACCAGGTCAGGGAAGAAGAAGTAAACATCTTTGGAGTGTACTCTTTGTTGTTATCAAGCATGAACATAGCAACATCAATAAATTGTTGTGTTAAAATATGGCAACTTCTCCATCAACTTTCTTTTTTAAGGTCTGGGTGATAAGAACGTGGAGCTGAGGGACTTGTAACTTCTGAATCTCAGTGTGGGAGAAACCCTGAAATCCAAAAGCACTGAGTGAGATTAAGGTAAAGAGAAACCCTGACACTGTGCTGTACGTGGGGACATTGACATTAGACCCTGTTTAAGACTGCAGAGGACAGACAGGACAGACTACAGCTCTACCGGCCGTCACACTCTACAAAGGAGAGATCGATCACAATCAGAGATTCACAATTACTGTCCTCGTGCTGTCAGTTTAGAAATACATGATATTCATGCAGTAAGGAAACAAAAAACAGAACAATATAATTTTTTCTAAACATAAATAAATTGAATTGCAAGAAGTTGATGAATGGCATCTGTTTTTCTTTACATTGCACTGGGATGTAAACAGATTTATTTGTCAGCCCGACTGGCATGGCCCCCAACCCACACAATACCTGAAACCCTCCCCACCCTTCCCCCATCTCTCAGTCTGTCCAGTAGCTTCCTTCCCTCTGTGTGGTGATGCTCAGCGGATGTAGACGTCCCTCCCCCAGTCGTCCTGGTTCTTGTTGTGGCTGATGTTGGCCCCGGTGTCCACAGGCTCCTGGCAGTAGCGCTCCCTCAGCTTGGCGCGTCCGTGTGGCTGCGTCTGGCTCGGCATCGGAGGGTGGTTCAGGTTCTCCTGGTCCGGTTCGGCACCTTCGTCTTCCCAGGATGCCTGCCTGCCGTGATGCTGCGCCAGGTGGAGGCGGCTGCCCCCTCCCCCTCGGTAGGGCTCGGGCTCTTCATAGGGGTCAGTCTCAATGTCCATGCAGGAGTCGCCGGCCTCGGTGTAGGCGGAGTCCCGGCTGCCCTGGGTCTCAGAGTCGAAGGTGTCCTGCCGGGAAAGCCCCCGGCCGCTGCCCCCCCGCAGCTGGCCCCGAGAAGAGCGCAGGTACGCCTGCTGCTGCTGCTGCTGCTGCTGCTGAGGCTTTCCTCCCAGGTCTGTCTGATAGTCTTGCAGGGTGCCGCTCCCGCCACACTCTGTCAGAGGCCCGTCTCGCTTCTGCTCCCCATGCACCAGGTACGGCCCCTGCAGCCAGACATGCCACACAGCAACCATGCAGAAACACAAACAGCAGAGCAAGACCAAACTGTCAGTGGTTAGTAGGCAGGCTTAGCATTAAGACTGAAACCAACTAATTTCATTATAGATTAAACTGCAAATTATTTTTGTGGATGTATCTATTAACCAATTGGTCAGTCTGAGTTTCTCAAAGGTCAAAGGTTATATTTTTGAAATGTCTTGTTTTGTCAAAACCCAGAGCTACTAATTGAATATAACATTCAACATAGCAAAGCAAAACAACTCTTTATTAGAGAGGCTGAAAAACAGCATTTTCTGCCATAATTGCATACAAAAGTGTTTAGGTTAGGTTGTAAAAATATTTGGCATTTATTTTTCTATCGATCCACTATTTGTTGCAGCTGTAGTTAGCAGGAGTCAGAGCATTCAACACAGAACGAGATGTTCCCGCTGAAGGACCTGTGGTTGTGAAAGCGTTAGTGTTCATGACTGACATTAACCTATTTATATCACACACTCACACATTCCTGGTTTTCACTTTGCATACACACACACACGCACACACGCAGTTATTAAACAAGCAGTCTGAATATCTAACATGACATCAGTGCCACCTTCTGGCAGATTGACCTCATGGCAGAAATAAAGCAGAAATAACTATTATATAGTTATTAATTTAACTCTGCAGCACATGATGTTAAGACTGAAATAATTTCACGTAAATTAAAAAAATACAGCAACGGTTTCTGGATGTTATTTTTGACTTTTTTGTTGAGGCTTCTAAGACAGCATCAATAATTAAATATAAAACATGTTTTAAGCCATTTGATGAAATTCTGCTGCTCGGGTGACACAAATATCCATGACAATGTGCAACTCATATAAATGAATGTGCAGCCAGTCGTAACTTATGAGTAGAGACACACCAAATTAATATTTGGATTATAAAAAGATTAAAGTGGACACAGTGTTAGCAACGGCCTCCAACGAAACAAAGCGTTTCCGTCTGAAAAGGCGGACATGACTTGCTGTTTTCGGGCCGGTACCATAGCAACACGGAGGAAGACAGCAATTTGGATTCAGCCTCCCAGAGAAGAAAAAGTGGCGGCGAGAGGAGGCCACAGAGCTAAAGAGGGCAGGGTGGGGGGCAGCAGATATCCTTTTACTCTTCATTACAGCAATATGGAGGGGCCCCCAACGGCAGAGCTGAGTTACTCTTTAAGTCCAGTGTGGTTTGCTCTCACAGTTTAAACAGCGTTGGCAAGGTAACGCTGACCTGCTAACATTCATGAAATCTCTCTTGTCGGTGTTCTTAAAGCTAGCTGTTCATGTGTGTGAATTTGGCTCATTTACGTGTCAGGTGTGCTAGTGAGTATGTGTTTCTATATACAGCATCGACAGGGTTTTAATGCACTTTTCCTTCAGGCTGCTGGGTTGTGGTTGAGGTAACAGAGTCCCCCCCCCCCCCTCTGCCCTCTATGTTGGACTTCAGAAAGCATGTTCTTCCTCTTTCCTCTCATTGGCTAAAGGACCGTCCATTTCAGGCCACAGATCCATATTTCGGCGCAGGGAGGTGAGCACCTGTACCTGCAGGTTGGAGACAGGCTCGGGGGAGGAGGCCAGAGCTGCTGTGGCCATGGTGCGGTTCAGCAGAGGGTTGGGGGGGTTGCTGCTCGGGGGGTGTGTCGCCTTCCAGTACGCCTCCAGGTAGTCAGCCAGATGTTCGCAGGCGTCCTCTAGCTGGTTCTCGTCCAGGATGATGTCAAACAATTCCTGCACAGAAATAAAATTACTATTAATGTGAGACAATACAGGCAAAAACATAATTTTCTTGCACTTTTCAATTTTTCAATTATTTTGTTTCTATAATGTCTTCTTGCAAAGTATTTGGGATCGAAAACATCTATTATTTTCACCTGTACTGTATCGCAGAATGTGTAGAATTGTAAAATACATTTAAAAGGCTCTTTTAACAAAACAAGTTTTTCTCATACTCTAAAATCTTCCCCTTATAGCACCAAAACACACCAAACTTTGCAGTTCCTTTCCTATCTATATTATAGGAAGTATTTTTTTATTACCCAGGTCACAAAGCATACTCACAGGTGGGCACTGGGCCAACTTGTCTGCTGCCACCATCTGCACATTTAGGTGTTTGGCCTGGGATTTCCCCCTAGATTTGATGAGCCTCTGGAGGACCTGCAGGGAGACAAAGACCCTTCAGAGAATCTACTAAAGCAATGTTATAGGTAGGGGTAGGTAGGCAAATTGAATCCAGCTAACAAAATATAGTGCTGCAGAGATAAAGTATTGGTCTGGTTCCTTCAATACAAGTAAATGTAATAACCAAAAACTATAAACAAGCTACAAAAAGGTTGCATGACTTTACTTGATCACCACTAAGTGGATAACCTTGCCTGTTTGAGTATGTTAGATGTCCCTCACAGCCTCTGTAGCCTAATTTAGAATCTTAAGCCTGTGTTCAACACAAACCTTCTTTTAGACATCAAACCTTTAACATTTGCGAATCCTAAACACAAGAGCGTTTGAGTTGAGGAAACCAGAAGTGCAAAAACTCATTTCTGTGTTAAAGACTTATTCCTACAGCACTTTTATACAGAATATAATTACATTTAAAGGGTAATGCTAACAAATTAAACTCATAAATAGGGCTTTGATTTAAGACTCATTTATCGCCATACCTTAGGTGAGGCTATTTTGATATAGACAATGATGGGAGCCAGGGAGGTCTTGGCCAGCTGAGAGGGGTGGTTGATCGTGTCTGCATCCAGGGCGACCAGCTGGAGAGTGCGGGCCAGCTCAAAGATACGCTCGATCTCACTCTGCACCTCCGCTGAAGGCCCAGCACACAGAACACACAGGTAAGTTCAGCGAGAAGGCAAAATAATTGTGTAATTTTCTGCTAACTATGAGGAGATGTAGCCGTGTATATAAGCCATAAGTACATAACCATCATGTTTGTACTAAATCATGCATGATTAAGATTTTAGAAAAACATATTTCCAAGCGTATGAATTAGATTGGATCACAGTTAAGTTCCATTTATGCAAAGCTAAATGGAACAGAGCAGCATCCTCATTCTGTTGCCACCTCTCAACATTACCTTATGTTCTTCTGATCTTTCTTTATTTCAAAGGAAGGAGGCACTTAAGAATGAGATGCCTTGTAATCACTTGTAATAAGAGCACAATTTTTCACCATGTAAATAAAACAGAAAAAAACACCCTCTCAAAACAAATTAGGTGGAACATTAGTTGTTGTTAGCGCTAATGGGCACAGCAGTAATTATTTTATCAGGTGAACCACTCAAGTCTCTGCACTGCGTGCGTGTTTTGTTTTCATTGTTCCTCAACAACAGCCTATAAGAGCTTGTTATTCAGCATTTTGAGCGCAGTCCCCCCCACCCGTGTTTTTTTTTTTATCAGCCTGTAAGTAGTGAGACTAAAACTGAAAACAAGAATTGGAAACCTCGCCTGTCTGGGCAGACCTCGGCCCCTCTGAGGCGTGGGCGCTGCCAAACCAGTGCCAGGGAGAGATAACGGGGGCAAGGCAATCTGCAGAGAGCCGGGTCTGCACACACTGCAGCAGCCTCCAGAGGGCTGAAGCATAAAGAATTCAAGATGGAGGCAAAAAAACAGGGCCTCAGCCGAGTGATAAGACTCATGAACTTTAACTCATATAAAGAAATAGCTGGCAAGGTTTTCATTAGCTCAACAAAGACTTTTGCAAATTTGGATTTAACTTCACAGAGAAACATGTTCCCCTGCCATGACCAGAATGACAGTATGGATTATCCTAGGTCAAAAAAAGGGGGAGAGCAGTATGGAAAGTATCGGCTTCCATCTCTGCTCATTCCCACTCAGTTTAGAGCGGTTGCCAGCCGCCCTGTTGCCCTCCCACAGATCTCTCCCTGCTTTGGTTTTGTAATGCTTTTTCTTTTGTTAGAGACTACAGGCTGTCAAACAGAAGTATGAGGAACAGACAAACTGACAGGCAAGCAGACAAGCAGACAAATGATGTATGAGCAAATGATGAATAAAGTGAGAAGAAAAGGGAAGTGAGGAAGGAGAGAGGCTTCATTGTTTTGTTGCAAGGAGAGCATACGTACCCAGTACGTCTGAATCAATACAGAGTAGAAGAACAAGAAGAAAATGGGAGGTGGGAGAGTAGGAAGGAAGATTGGGTGATGGGCAGAAAAGACAGGATGAAGAAAGAGAGAGACCAGATCAGACTCAGACAAAAAGGGGTATAAAAGGGGGGAACATTTACACTTTCTTTGAAATCTATCTATCTATCTATCTATCTATCTATCTATCTATCTATCTATCTATCTATCTATCTATCTATCTATCTATCTATCTATCTATCCTTTCTATCAAGAAACACAATGAAAGCAGTAAACATATGAAACACAGACATTGAAAACACTTAAAATGTACGTTCTGCAACATGATGTGAGGAAAATAAATATTTTACGTTTACTTGTTCTGCACTGCAATATTTTATCAAGTGCTTTATGACTATTCAAATAACAAAATAAGAGTCCAATGAATGTCTAAACTGTGGAGTTAATGGCGTTTTTGTTTGGCTGTGATTTGTGCAGATCCAAAGTGGCTGTATGTAGTCTTACCCAGGCTGGATCGGGTACTGGAGCGTTCAATGATGGTGTGTTTGCTGGGGTTGTTGAGGACTGAGCGTTTGGCCAGAGATATGTCAGCTGTCACCCGTGTGATGGATATCCTGAAACGGATATCCAGTACAGCAGTCATTACCGGGTTGGCAAACAGAAGCCAGTTAAAGCAGAACGTACAGTACATGATGGCTGCAGAGAGCAGATGGTCTCACTCTTACCTGCCCTCAAACTTGTGTTTCAGGAAGTCAAAGAGAGCTTTCTGCATCATGTCTGTCACCTAGAGACGAAACATTAGACAACAAACTATAATAGTAAACATCGATGTAAGACAAATAAATGTTGGCAGAGGTGTAAAAAGTTTTCTAATTGCATAATAAAAAGTACACAGTTACATGTAAAAGTCCTGCATTCAAGATTTTACTAAAACTACAAAAGTAATAGCATCAAAATAAACTCACAAGTACCAAAAAGGCGAATTTGAGAATAGTATTTGTTATATATTGGATAACAATTATTTAAGCTTTAATATGTTCATCACTTGTTGCTACATTGTAGTTTGTGACTTTTGATTCAGTTTGATCTTAACCTGTAATAACATTTGTTAAATTACTTGTTTTATATATATAAAAATCCTGTGAACTGTAGTGAAGTATTAGTACAAAGCAGCAGGAAATATAACGGAGAAGTACAACTACCTCAAAATTGCAATTATTACAGTACTTAAATAAAAAGGTACATAGAATTTTGCTTATTTTTCTCCTTGCCTCATATCCTTTGAGTGATGGTCCGACTAGGATGATGGGTCTCATGGAGGGAACCACGTCGTAGGGGGGAACATGCTCCATCTGAGCCGGAGAAAAAAAGAGAGCACAAACATTAGGGTGAGCGAGGCCGTTAAGTTGCGTCTGCGCGTGCATTTAAAACAGCTCGAAAAGGTGTACACTCACACTTAAATCCACATTAACTCAACACAAAAGCCCTCTCTGTGAGCAGTCAGACTGATGGATTGTGGGTTTTTAGATGCTGGAGTCCATTGGTTTTATTGACTGGCTATGAATGGTCAGAGACGGGGATCAATTTCTCTCTGAAAGCACTCGCCTATTTCTTACTCTGCATTCTTACATAATTAGTGTCCATAATTAAACCACCAGACGCTAGGGTGTCAGGAAAGCTCTCGTGGACGAGCTGCTACTCTAACACAGGCGTCACACTTCACACTTCCCTTTTTTTGTTGTGCATCGGCACCTGTCAATGTATTACTGCCAATAAATGCTGAATTGAGAGTTTCATAGTAAGAATGCACTTCCTTTTCCATTTGGATTTAAACTGTATGTTTTTCTATTTGTTTTTTTTATCCTCAATTCCAATTTAAACTTGAAACCAACAATAATGTGTTCATCGCGCAAATGTCTGTGAAGGCTTTATAAAACCCGTACACACAAACAATGAAACAAATCGCAGTGTTTTCTCCATAGTTCAGTTTAGTCTTTATCCCGTCTAAAGAACCCTGTACATCCTCAGCCTGTGGATATCATTAAGCCATTTTCACTAAAAATTGATAGACCTATAACCATGAAAGGGACTCATATAGAACACCCACACACAAACACGATCTCTAATGCGGCACATGAACTTGAGGCTTATTTGTACATGAAAGGAATGATTCAGCTTTAAGGACTACATAAGCATTTGTCCTATTTGGAAGCCGTCGGTTTTCAATGAGAGTGGGGTGAAAACAGTCCTATATGCTTTGTGAACATTGAAATTGGATGGATTTCTTTTTAGATTGGTATTCCAAGCACGCCCCCTCGTTCATGTGCGCTGTGAGGCTCTTCAAGCAGGAGATAGTGCTGGAGTGCTCCGCTCCACTACATTACATTACATAAAGCGGAGCAACGGAAGCTAATTTCACCTCATTTGAATTCACAGAAGCTAAAAATACATATTTTAAAAGTTTCCAAATGGCTCTTGTCTCTTAAGGGGCAGAGCAGGAGCACTGGACATAACAATAGCTTTGGAATAACAGGAGCACAATTTAGTGTGGTGAGTAATGGAGGAGGGTGTACATAATATAGATCTGGATGATAGTTCAATATTACACTTTGCTGTCACTCTTTAACATCAGATCTTTCAAAAAAAAACTATAAATACAAATTGCAGATATTGTATTGAGTGAAAGCAGCAAAACATTAATTGTTGCTGCTCAAAAAAGAAATGTAATTAAACATTACAACAGCCATAATTATAGATATTTTTTGGAAATGATGGACAGTTTTGCTTAAATATTAGTGTAAAACATTTCCAAATGTTGTTGCAATCGAACAGACAGTACATCCCGATCGCAGATAAAATGTAAATTCATAAAATCCTATTATCCTATATCAATTAAGTCCTTTTTTTTTAAAGATACTTAAGTATTTTTATACTTTTTAAGGAACCGTGGGAACACAGCGATTTTGTTTTAAAATCTGTAAGAAAAGGCTAATGTTGAGATATTGTGGTTCACAGATATCCAGTCTACATTGCAGTAATTGAATGATGAGTTAAAGGCCAATGCCTGTCACTCCTGTCATAACATGTCTTTGCTCTGCAGCCTTAACGTGTGATTCAAATTGTGCTGAAAAGCATGAAAACTGCTGATTGTCGGCTACTGTCGCTTAAATCATCCGTCATAAATGGAAATGAAAGCATGTCAGGATGTATTACTGTTACACTCTGACTAACAGGGTCTGGGATGGAGCTGCGCCTGCATCTGCACACTGACAGCTGTGAGACAAGCTCTGGGGAATGACAAACCGTGATATACAAATTATCCTGTGAATATGCCAATATGGCAATATTCCGCAGACTGATTTCGTACCACCACAAGAAAGAAAATGGGACAATGACACAACAGAGGACGAGGAGTCAGAAATGTGAGAGGTTGGGGTTAAGATCGAACCACACTCACCGACTTCTGTTTCTGTTTAGCTGGGCCACCTACAGTACCATTCCACACAAAAGCCAGAAGGGACAAAAGAAAGCACAAAACACAAAAGCACATTTAGTTATTGACATGATAGTATTAGTGGGGAGAGAAGCTGTTATTGATTAAAACAGAGTTTACAATGAATGCCTCCAGTGGCTTCATTTTAAAATAGATTCAGACGGATATGCAGAAGCAGCCATTTCAGAGTGTATCAGTTAGTTTAATGCCTCTCCCAGCTAGCAGGCACGGTAACAAACAAACAAACAAACAAACAAACATACATATATCAGTGTTACTGTCAAGACCAGAGCCTGAGGGGCTAAACAGGTTTTGATCCCCTTACAGGTGAGGCAGGGAAAGTTCAGTTGTGAGCGGTTAGTGAGAGGGGAAGAGGATATTAGAGCTGAACACATCTTGGAGGGGACAGATGCAGGAGGGGGTCTGGCGATGTCCTGTCGCCCTAATGTTACCTTCTTAAAGAAGGGCAGTCGGTGGGCGTTGGCCTGAGGGGATGTTACGCTGCCTGAGATGCCCTTGGAGGAGCGAGGGTCACCCTGGGACTCAGGGGGCTCCTCAGCATCCAGGTCCAGGGGGTCAACGTCAAAGGCCACATTGGACATGTCCATGTGAGCTGACGGAGGGGGGATGGTGCAGAGAGAAGACGAAAACAGACAAGGAAGAAGGGAAAGAAGAGAGAGAGAGCAAAAAGGGGCAAAGTAAAAACAGGATGAGATAGCAGACATCAGAGAGGAGAAAACGCAAAAGGAGAAAGAGAATGTGAAATGCATCCAGAAAGAGGCATGGAAGAGATGGTATATATTGAGATCAAAACAAGTTGATATTATATGATTTAAAGTGGGAACAACATAGAAAGAGTTTAAAAAAAAGAACAGACCAGATTTCCATTAAGCAAGGCACAGATGAAAGGTACAATAGCATGAGCAGAATAGATTCAGTGGACAGAAAGCAACAGAACTTGGAGTGTAGATGTGTAAAGCATGGGCTGCACAATCGAGAAAAGTAGTAGAAAGGAAAGAAGGAATCAAGCTGAGAGGGAAGATGGGTGTTGGAAATAGATGTGTGTTGGGATTATTGTTGGTGATTCGGGTGTCAGGTGTGGAGGGGGAAGGGCAGACAAGGCTGGCAGGTGTCCAGTTTTAAAGGAAGTGTGTAGGGCTTTGGGAAACACACTTTTTTTGCTTTGTGAAAATTGAGAGATGAGGAGAATTATACCGCTCTAATATCAAACAGCTAAACTGGTTGTGTCTAAAAGCAATACTATCTTCAAGCACCCCTAAAGCTCAATAATTAACATGTTCTATCTCATCTGTTTCAGTGTAAAAAAACATACTCTGGTTTCGTGTTTTATTAGTTATTTAGTGACCTTTAGAGGTGCTGATAGCCAGATTTACTTTTGAACAGAGCCATCTGTTTATTTGTGTGTGTGTGTGTGTGTGTGTGTATGTGTATGTGTGTGTGTGTGTGTGTGTGTGTGTGTGTGTGTGTGTGTGTGTGTGTGTGTGTGTGTGTGTGTGTGTGTGTGTGTGTGCGCTAAGCATCCATGGGGTATAAGGATCCAACAATCTGGATTGAAAGAATTTGTTAATGATATCATCAAAACACCTACAGTTTACAGTCCATTGTAAAAATACAAACATTATTAAGTGATATTTTTGTTATTTATTGTCAGTTGATAACTGATTGTGTTAAATGGGCATATGATATCAAATATAATCCATTGTTTAAATAAGCATGATTCCTAAAATGTCAAAAATGTTTCTTTAGGTGAGATCACCTACTTTAGGGTGAACTAGGTATATTAGACGGATGTGCTTTCCGGTATACAGGTTTTCTGTTCAATAAAAAGTTGCTCTATTTAATTAAAATCTTAATGTCTATCAAAGTATGTTCCCCTTGTTTGCACTTCTATCTCTGGCTGTCTCTCTGGATATCAAGCAGCTCTCTGTCGTCCTGGTGATGCACACACAAAAGCCAGACATACTTGTCAAGTTAAATGAGTGAGGTCCATTCTCGGCTCTATTTCAGTGCCGTCCTGTGTGCTAATGACAGACCTCCTAAGACCTCTCTCACATCACAGACCAACCCACTGAGATGTGCCGTGATTCATCATCATGCCTGACTAACTAGCCAATTAAAATCTTCATCTAAATATCAGGCCCCTGTCTCATCACGCTGTGTCAGGATTGTACACATACACCCACATAAACAGGCACACAGTCACTATTCTGACAGAAGAGAGGGAGACCCCCTTGACCTCACCTGTGCCAGGTGGGGTGGGCCTGCGGGTTCCCGTGGCAACGTCCAGACTGGAGCTTCCTCCAGATTTACTATTATTGGAGAAAAAAAAAGAAAGTTATTTTTGTGGTAAAGTAAAGACCAAATTATAGCTTCACAATACTGAGGACACAGTAATCATCAGGATGTTTTTTTTTTACCAACAAATAATATGTTTCTCCCGCCAGGAGGGGGCTCCTCGTAGTTTAAAGTGAACAAAGTGCAGTATTGGCCTTCTGGTAATAAATAGTGAAGAGAAGACATTTGGAAAAAGCCAGAATGAGCTTCTGACTTTGAGAAAAAGTCATTAAAGTTTGGGTAGGCGACGTGTTTTATGCTTCATAAAGCTAAAGTTCCACAATATTATTGTAATTCAAGTGGTGTGAGAGAAAATTAGTATTCTGCACTTCCTGTTGGCTCAGTTTTCAGACTTTAGAAAATCTCCTTTATTTTCCAGAAAACAACATACCCCGTGGCACCACTTAAATTAGAATAAGCTTAAAGGTTATTGTTGAATGTTTTCCCAATCCTGCCAAAAATAAAGTACCTCCCCCAGCTTAAAGTAATGAAGTGAACTCCATGTAAAATGTATATACTAGAATCCCATCAACCCTTGTTATTGTTATATGTGTTGATGATGTGTGTGTGTGTGTAGGATAGTCAAGCACACACATACATTCCTGGAAAATATAAAATAAAAAACCTACACTTCAGAAATCTATAGTATATACATATTGTAGTTGTAGTGGCATACGGTGACTCACTGCATTGATTGTGTCTATTTAAGGAAGATTTACATTGCCTGGTGGGTGATGTGTGACTCAGGTTTGACCTGTTTTCAAAAGTGTGGTTGTTGTTTGTGACGCTGATCCTGGAGCTGCTGAGGGACTTCAACAGTTACCTGGAGCTGAGTCGGTTCTGTCTCATCCTCTGCTCTTGCAGCATGCGGGTGTTTTCCAGTTTGACCGGGCTGGGGATGAAGCCCACCTCACAGCCCTCCTTCACCAGACGTCCGATCCACCAGTCATTGTTGTATTTCTGCAAAGAGACAGACATCTGTAACCAATGACGTACCAGCATTTTCCTTTTCACATGCATTATCACTGGGTTGAATTAAAATGTACACATTTGAAACAACATGGACAGTGCAAGGAACAATGAATTATGCAATTTCATAAATGTATACATAGTTAACAATAAAATAATAATAGCACATAGAACAGAACTGTACCGTTCATAGTACAGAAAGCCTAAAGTACAATCAATTATAGTAGAATAGATTAGAGTAAACTTGACTTTTTCTGAGATTGAAATCTTGCCTTAAATTACCAAACATTACATACATAACATGAAAACACCAAAAACTGGTAGAATTGAAGTGCACAAGTGCTTAGCACAAAAATGCTGTTGTACTTATTACACATTGCACAAATGCACTTAGGTTCAGCCTCATTGAGACAAACCATGAACCAAACATCGCTAAGTGATGTCGTTTTGCACTTTGCCACACAAAGTCTTCCTCCTGGTGGCAGAGGTTCGTATTCACAGAAGAGAGGATGTTGAGTCTGCAATGATTTGTGTTGCTTGTTTCATGACCGCCTGCTCTAAATGTGCTTTGTATTCTTCCTCTTACCCTCAAAGCTGTTTTGGGAAAGTTCGAATGCAGGCTTTCAGTTGCACTATTGCAATATAAGGTTGCTGAATCAAGTAGTAGCCCTATGTGAACCTGAGCACAATGAGGCACACTTTCTTGCAAATACATTTTACGCCTGATGTCAGGAAACTAATGTTATCTAATTGAACAAAATATTTGTATTCAGAAAGTAGGACAATACTTGTATCACTTAACTTTTTTTCCTTATTCCACAAAATGTGTTTTACTCAATTCTCCTTGCTCTGCAGCTCTTGTTAGTGCTTACGCCCACTCGTGGCCTGGGTAGGGTTTTGACAGAAGGAGACGGTGCAGTGAGTTGCAATAAAACATGATCCCATCATCACTGCCAATTGTTTGACTCTCAAAGACCTGCTGTTGTTTCCCCCTACACAATCCTGCAGCCTGGGACTTACCTTTAGTTCAGGATGAATCAGTGCAGACCTTTACTTCTAACTACATTAACAGCTCTAGTGCTATACTTTTCCGTACCGAAACGTGCTTTTCCATACCAAGGTGTGTTCTCCTTGGAGAGTCGGAGAAGTTCATACCTCTTTAATGTGCAAGAAGTCTTTGGCCTCGAAGGATATGGCCATGCCCTGCACAGGAACCTCATCACTGGGGCCGGGGTTGTAACCGACATTTGTCCGCACAGCAAACGCCACCGGTTTGGTCTGGAGCAGTGATGGGAAACACAGATATTAGTATACAGATGCTAACTCAATACAACACAGAGTTTAGTGTCCCTTTGAACGAGGGGATAAGGTTCATTAGTGTCAAAACACAACATTGATGTGAAGATTTTGCACTAAGACTGACTATTAAACTAATACTTCCCATTACGGGTGGAGATACAACAGTTTATCGCTGACCTTTGCTTTCTCGAGCGTGGCGAGGGCCTGTCTGTCAGCCTCCTTCCTCAGAGCCTCGGGGTCCTCTTCCAGGGACACGTCTGAGTCCGAAGGCCGGCTCGTGTAGGAGTCTGCCGAGCCCTGAAATGCATAACAACTTTAAATAAAGGTGAGGAGGAGAAAAAGGACAACATTGTTATGAATCAACCCTTGGAGGGAGCATCATCGGAGTACACCGAGTCAATTGTGATGAACTCAGTGCAGTCTGGGTATATGTTTGAATGTCTGCTGTCTAACCCGACAACCTTTTTGTTCATCTTTAAGATTTCCCAGTGTTCTCCGGTTCCTTTAAATCCACCTTTCTCGTCTTGAGTGTGAAGAAGAACGATTGTGGTTCTGCCTTTGCAATTTCATTTGTGGTCAAAATGTCAAGCCTGCTTTGAGAAGCATAACCTACAAAGACACAAAGGGGGCCTCGGCCTTCATACTACATGAAAGCTGACTCTGTAATTTGAGGTGGAGCTGATGCATAACAACAGGCCTAAATTTCCACTGCAGCTATAGTGAGGCCGAGCAGTTTCGTTTTTTGCACAAGTACAACATATTCAGCGTGTGGAAGTGTCAAGTAGAGACAGAAAAAGAGATAGAGAAAAAAAAAATGACCCGTGGACTCTTTGTAATATTAGTGGGGTTATTCATTTCACATGAAGTGGCTACAGTTTCCATCACATCCACCACTCATGTACAGTAACTTGACTCTGCTGACCCTCATCCAGACACCCATACCACAATAAAAAAACGAGCCTGCTGGGAGCCTACTGTACTGTTCAGCAGAGAGGGAGGCAGCCTGAACTTCTGTTCTCAAGTGTTTGAGTGTTCAACTTATATAACAATCCCACTTATTCTCTTCTTGCTGTTTTATTTTAATTTTTTCAGCTGACAGGCTGCCTGGCGCTTTGTAGGAGGTGCCGACAAGAATGCGGACAGCTGAATGTGCCAGGCAGAACAAGTGAGTCACTAGGTGTGGGCTATTAAAATAGAGGTGAGAATGCGCAAAGATGACATACACCATATGCAATGATGATGAAAATTCCCATTGCATGATTAGTCAGACAACACCAAGATTTCAGTAGAGTACAACACATATATCTCTGCACAAGGGCTGCGTATTGTAACAAATCTTTGCAAGAGACCATGAGTTTTAGTGTTTATACCAAAACAATACAATTACTGATACCTTAATGTGTAATATAAATGAATATAAACATGTTCTAATGTTTTCTTTCCATTTCAGAAAATACTTCGAACTGCCCAGCGCCTTAAATGAAGACCTTAAATAAAATCTTGAATTGGAAAACCTGCAAATTAACATCAAGACTTGTTAAAGGAAAGGAAAAGTATACATGCCCAAGTGTCATAGCGAGCATTTAAAGCGATACTAAATCAGTGCAGTACTCTTTTAAGTCCTGAGATTTGATACCCAGCCCTGCGCCCTACTCTTGGTTCATTGCAGCCAACTTGCTGTTGCCTGAATTGTTTTGAATGCTTATTATAAAGATAAAAAGTAATGTGAGATGTCCCAGTGGGGCCTTGTGATAAAGACAATACACTAAAGCAGCAATATCCCTGGTTGGAATTTGGTGGGGTACTTGTGTTGCAGGTCATCACCCTCTCTTTCTCAGCCTTCCTTCTGTCTCTATTTCAACAGCCAACGGTGGGATAAAAGTAAAATGCCATGAGAAGAATCAATGAAAGAGTCCTTAATGTCATTCCTCAAGAGAAACATTGTGAGCCGAGTGCGCCTGAAGGTCTAAATATATCCAGAGAGAAAGACTGGTCATATGTTGATGAGTGAAACATGTGTGTGGTGCGTCAGCGTGTTTGCACATGTATGTATGTGGAATGAAACTGCCTCTATACCTTTGATTACCATCCATGCATCTCTGTATGATTTAAAACGAAAACAACAAACACAAATGTTGATTCTAGCTCAGCCAACTGTTGCTTCAAGGCTCTGTGACTTGGTAACAACACATTAAATGCAGACACTCCCTGTTGCCAAGGCGATGGCTAGCTACTCAAGGCGTCCTCGGGCTTCCACAAACCATCCCCACTTCCTGTTACATTCACTCAAACGCTGGAGGAGGCATCCCACTCAGGTAGGAGGAATGAGCTTGTGAGTGGCATGCAGCATCTAATGAGCACATTAACAGCCGCCCCCATTAACCAGCTGTGAGTCATCGAAACCATAATCGCTGACTAAGTGAAGGTTAACAAACCTTGATGGGAAACCCACAGGAATATGTTTAAAGAATAAAGAATGACGTCTGAAACAACATGTGACAAACCAGCACACTACAGCGTGTGATGCAGCAAAATGTAGTGCGAAAGAGAGTGGGAGGGATTACCCTTTGGGAGTGTTAGTGTGATTGTGGACAAATACGTGTATGTGAGTCATCCAGTTGAGTCATGTCACATACAATCAGAGGAAAAAGAAACAGTAAGGGGCAGGAAGTATTGACAGATTCATCAGCACATACAAATAATATATATGTGAATGAGGGGATAAAACAGCGACTGATCAATAACCTCTCTACTCCCTCCCCCCGAAATCATTTCAGAGCGCGATGACGGACAGAACAAGCAAGAAAACATTTCCTCCACTTTTTCATTTCTGGCACTCTCCTCCCTTCCCTCTCTTCTCCTTCTTCACCTCTCATGCCATTAGGTTGTGTCTCTAATTTAGCTGCTTGCTTCACTTCACATACAGCTCATGTTCAAAATAGCTTCAGGTCATCTGATTGCTGAGCTGCTTTCCTATTGGCTGTGCCACACCAGAGACCCCAGCAGAGTCATAGTAACCATCTCTGCGGCTTATAACAGGCAGTGAGAGCAGTAAAGAAGATGGAAAGCACTGTACTTATATGGATCAATATTCAGTGTTGGACTATAACTATAACTGATTACATGAGTATTTCTATTTCAAGTTACTTCATGCTTTTACCACAAAACATTTCACATGAAAATATTGGATTTTTCAGTTGTTGACGGATTTAGTTTCTTCACAGCCTGTATTATTATTATAAAATATACTAAATGATCACATATTATTATAGGTTACACCAGTAATACAAAGGTGCTTCACTTTCCAGTTGCAACATTAAAGTGATCAAATGGAATACTTTTGTTTTATTAAGTCCAATTTTACACATAACAAACTTGTCTGGGGGCTTCAAAATTCATACAGCAAGCTACATCATCTGTCCTTAGAACCTTACAGCCAAAATAGAAAATGTCCCCCCCTAAAAAACCCAAGTAATAAGGTAAAAAAGCAAGAGCGAGCGAGGGATTCGTCTGATAAGACGGACAAACATGCAATATGTGTCATGGAGAGATGAACACAATAATTAGGATAATTCAATGGTCAAATAAATATAATTCTGAAATTAGGGGGTGATTTTTTATAATGGGTATTTTTTTTTATTTTGTTCAATCTATCTGATTTTGTTCATCAAGTAGATTATCATGCTAATGATCTTGATCGCTCCCAGTTACAATTTGAAAGCAGGAATTGTACTTGTATGTTATCACTGTTTTTAAACTACTTTTACTTGAGTAAAAGATCTGAGTACTTCTTCCACCGCTGTCAGTGGTGGAAAAGAAACCTTGGCGGGAAATCAGCAGTGGGGAAAATTTCATTAAAGCTTTTTAAAAAGGTGATGAATGATATTTCCATGCTGTGTAAGTTACAGCTGTGAGGCCACAGCATGGTCAATAACTTGGAGGATAAAAAATGTTCAAGGGAAATATCCATGTTCTTAGTGGAGTAATCTGAGTAATATAAGTTTTGTTTTCATAGTTGAACTAAGATTTATTTAGTCAATAAGTAATTTTCATGTACCCTTTTCATGCTGAAACATTTCCTTCTGAGAATCTGTCTGTTAAACACAGGACAGGTGTGTTTGCATGATTCTTTGTGAAGAAACTTGATAAAATCAACAAGTCGATCAGTCAAAAAAAAATCAATGAGTGTTAGTAGACAAATAATTTCTTTAATCTACCTAACAAACTATATTTGTATTAAAAAAGAGTAATAAACAAGGTGAAACTCAGCAAATATTGTGTAAAATGAACCAATTGTGTTTCTAAGTTTTAATATGGAATAATTCGAGAAGGTAAAATAGACCGACAGAGCAGAGGAGGTAGTGGAATAAAGTAAAAGACAGGTCTGCATTGTTTCTTCTGATGCAATGTTTGTAAATGTTTTTTGTTTTTTTTAAAAGAGACATTGGACAAAAGGGAGTTGGATGTGGTAAAGTGGATTTGCAATTTGGGGTGTACATACAGCTGCGATAAACATGATTATGATTATGAAGATACTGAACCAGCATGAAAATTGGACTACTTTCCCCCTCTTTAAAGTCTTTATAAAACTAAGAAAAGACACAGAACATTTATTTGTTTTATAAAGACTGTAAAGAGAGGGAAACTCAAATGTTCATGCCAGATAACAGGGTAGAGGTTACATTTTTAAATCTGCTAAAGCCATAAAAAAAAGGAGGATCACAGCGTGGTTGTCAGACTTTACAATGTTTGACTAAGATGTGATTACCATCTGAGACACACAACACAAAACCCCTACCCTGATAATTAAGCAGCTAAACATATCTCCATCCTTATCAGCTCAGATCATGTGAAAAAAAGGAAAAGTGAGAAAATGATCTTATTTGCTTTATCTTGGCCCCTGTCACCAAACATTTCAGAGAAGAAGAAGGATAAGAACCAAACGTCTCTTTTCAGAGTAAACCAGAACGCATTACCAGTCGAGCTGTGTGTATTCACATCACATCCAGAGTGAGATTAGCTCAGTGAAGACAGGTACGGGAAAGGAAACGGGGCCAAAGGGGGAAGGAAAGGGGGAAAAGCCTCAGAGCAGAAAGATGTGCAAACTGAGGAATAACAAAGGACATATTTCCTGCCATTAATCTCATGGCAGGTGGCTGTAAATGGCCCTAGTCCTTTTATTTCCAGTCACAGCAGCGTCATGGCAACCAAATGGACCGTGTGAAGATAACTAAAAAGATGAGTCATGGACTGAACTCATTAGAAATCCCCATTTTCACAAATAAGATAATAAGTGAAAGAGGGACTCCATAACAAGTTGCTCCTTAGAAATTAATTTCAGTCAATCTCCTTACATTCAACATACAGGAACAAAGTTAGGGCTTTTTAATCTTTTTCAGGACTCAAGTTGAGTCATGATTATGGCTGGGAATTGTTTCAAATGTTTTGATACCACTGCCAACCCAACAAACTTTTTCCATTTAGTATGGTATTCCAGCCTTTCAATGCTACAAAAGCTGTACAAAAACATAGCCTAAGTTATAAAATCAAATTAATAAGATTCATATTATCAAAGAGGTATTACCTGACAAAGTATGCAATGACAACTTGATATTTTTCTACATTTATTTAGATAGACATTTAAGATGTTCTAATGTTCAATACCCAAATTAAGTCATGTAGGGAAATGCATGTATAAGGTAGAGGTGAACTGAACAGTCAATCAACTTAACGATATTAATTTAGGACATAACTGGCAAGACTGTGTTCATTTGCTGAATGATTACAATTCAATATATACATCAGAAACTTAAACCACTAATTATGTAACATAATCTCTATCATCCCCACTGCTGCACTGATCACTTATCAATAGTTTAAAGACATTCACTGATTCCTGCTTCTCAAATGTGCTGGTTTTACCTGTTTCATATCACATGGACCCATTTTCCAACACTTTATAGACAAAGGCTTATAGTTGCACAACAATTGATAGATTAATAATTTCAATCAATAATGAAAACGTTAACATTGCAGTCCTAATCACCACAATAGGAATCCATTGAAAATAAAATGAAATAAAATGTGCCCTGAATTAAATATTTGCTAAATTTTGAAACTCTACCCAACAACACACAACATAGAATGGTGCTTTAGCCCAGCCAACTGCAATAACAAAACTAAAAGAAGGTCCAGCCCAGGACAGGCAGACAGCAGTCAAGGAAGCCCCCTGAAATGGCCATGTTGCAGGCAGGGCAAATAGCAGCAGGAGCAACCGGTGGGACTGGAAGTCTAATTAAAAACGCAGCGCCTTTCCAGCAGCTGCGGCCCGGCCCAAAATGGAATCACACTCGAAAGAGCGAAGAAAGCCGCAGACATGGAGGTACAGCTCTATCAGGATACGGGCCACAAGTTATATTCTCCTGTCATTGTATCTCAGGGCAACAGTGTCTGCTGAACTTTCACAATTCAATCCAGATCCACACGTTCACAGATAAACTCACACATACACTGCTTCCAGTTCAGTCAGACGCAGCAAAAAGCTTATCTAGAGCCTTCTTACCATGACGGGCCTTTGAATCCTCTCAGTCCGCTCCATATCTCGTTTGCCACACTCGCCGCACCACGGCAAACCAAGGGAGCAACGCCAGAGTCCACAGACAGAGTTATGTGGGTGTGCGTGTAAGTGTGTGCGCGTGAGATAGCAGTCACTGGTGTGTGTATCTGTCTGTTAGCTTGTCAAGTGCAGAAGTGTACATGTGTGTGTATATATGTTTGTGTGGTGTGTGTGATAGGATGGCAGAGAGAGCCAGAAAAAAGGGCAGTATGTGTGAAACTAGGAGAGCGCTCTCTTAACCTCCAACCCCTTCACACACACACACACACACACACACACACACACACACACACACACACACACACACACACACACACACACACACACACACACACACACACACACACACACACACACACACACCC